TGACCACAAAATAAGAGCTTTAAGTAAGTATAAAGTTAGCCTCCTAGCAGGTTCCATCTACCAGGCGTTAACAAAATGGAATACAGAATCACTAGTGACAGGGAGGGTACAGCCACAGCCAGGGGAGGCAAACACCGTGGGGACTTTGCCGGGGGTGTAACTGAACCAGAGGACGAAACAGCACCTTTTTTGTTGTGTCATTTTATGTCAAAGAGGTTGTGGCTAAAGTTTCAAACATACAGTCTACTCATTCCATAGAAAGGTACATTTTCTTCCGTTTATTTTACTTTTTTTCCCAATGAGAAACAAAAATTAGTGCAAGACCAAAGCACTGTGCAAAACTGCCATGTCTTTTTTTTTCTTTTTCTTTTTTTTTTTTTTTTTAGTCTGAGCATTTATACCCAGAATGTATCCAAACCCCTTTTTAATCTCCTTGGCTGGATTTATCAACCATAAAATTTACCACTCATACAATTTTTTTTTCTGCAAACAAATGGTAACCACTGAATTAATACATCTTATATATATATATATATATATATATCATCTGCCCTTAAAAAAACGATGCACTGTGTGTGCGTCCCATACACATCACTCCTGTGTGGGCACACATACAAAACACGTAAGTTTTGTGATGTTAGCTGCAGTGCTGCGAGATATTTCATGCAGACTGGTCACTTGATTCCTCGCATCTTCCTCACCAGAGAAGATCTGAGCTCAAGGTCTCCAGCATTCTGCCCCATTGGAAATCTCCAGCAGCACAGCAGATGTCTACCAGGCACCAGGCCCTACCACTCTGTAGCCATAAAATAAGAGAGGGACAGGTGGTAAAGGAGCTCAGGGAGAGACTGCAGTGGGACGAACAAGCTGGGAGGGGGGGAAAATGTTCACCGCTATGAAAGAAGCCAGAACAAAGAATGTGCAATAGAAACATCATGGCACACCACACACAGCTTTCTCGTTCGGAACCCACAAAACATCCACACACCCCATTCACCCAACAGAAAACCAAATGCACCAGTATATAAGCCTACAAGTGCTGATTGCTAGTAAGGACACTCTCGTTAGGATTTAGCAAGACAATTCCTTTAGGAGCGAAGGATGGAGGGGGGCTGAGAGTGGGAGTGGGTGGCTGGGGAGGCATGCCTCTGAAGGAACAGCGTGTGGTAGGTCACCTCTCTGAAGATTGGATAAAGCAGCTTTCAGGTCAATGCAATAGGTATACACACAGAGCCAATTCTCTATTCCTTACTAAAGATATACAGTACACATGGTTTAGACCCCAAGGGTCTGTAGTTTTGCAGCAACACACACCTGTTGGGTTTGTGTTTAAGTTTAGTGGATTTTTTTTTTTTAAAGTTTACTGTCCTTGTCTCTTTGTTTTTGGTACAGAACAGGGCTGCCCTCAGACAGTCTCTGCTCTTTCTCTTAGTCCAAGATAGGCGAGGAAGGAGTGTTTGGGGGAGGGGATGCTGGGGGGAGCAGTCTGAGGTCGGGGAGGGTGGAATGTGAGATCCAAGTGGTTCTTGGGGTACAACATTGTCAAGGGAATGAGATGGGCAAAATCCGAGTTCCGGTACTTGTCAAAGCGCAGAGGAGAGCCGTTGAAGGCCAGGGCCTTGAGTGCCAGGTTGGGCTCTGAACTGCTGCTGCGGGCAGCGGACAGGGCCACAGTCTGCAGAGCCTGCGAGGCGGACATGACCGACAGGGGAGACAAGAGATTCCGGGAGCTCCCCACAACCAGGAGCGGGGTTCCGGGGCTGGCTGGTTCCTTGGGGGCTGGACACAGGCCCTTCTTGTCCTCCTCAGGGCAGTCTCCACTCTGGTGCTTCTTGACGTGGCGGCTGAAGACGAAAGGGTGTGTGGTCTTGAACAGGCACTCTTCGCAGCTGAAGGTCTGGCGTGGGGCATGCTTCAGCTTCTTGTGCAGGTTGAGATTGTCCTTGCGCTTGCAGCTGTAGCTGCACTGGTCACAGTGGAAGGGCCGCTCCCCGGTGTGGACGCGCACGTGCTCGATGAGCTTGTTGGCGGTCTTGGACAGGTAGCCGCACTGGTCACACTTGTAGTGGTTGCCCAGGCGATGTTCCCGGGTGTGCGTCTCCAGCTCCAGCTGGTTGGCCTTCACCGTCTGGCAGATCCGGCACTTGTACTCCATCTTGTAGTGGGTCTTGAGGTGGCACTCCATGGCAGCGGGGCGGTTGGTGGAATAAATGCAGAATGGGCACCTGCCGGGGGGAAGCGATACAAGCAAGGTTCAGCCGGAGAGGATCCAGGGCAGCTGCGCTTCTCCCCTCCTCACCAGGCTGCCCTCAGCTCACCCTCTGGTCTCTGAGGTCTGGCCTGCCCAGCCCAGCCCTGCTGCCTCTTGGGGTAGAGATGGCCCCCTGATGCTCACTGCTGACAGGGCAGTGCCCGCTGACGGGCAGCTCTGCGCAGGTCTGCGCAGCCTATTCTGGGTCTCCCAGCTGCGATGCCCAAGGTCAGCATTCGTGAGGGGAGCAGAGAAAGGGCGAGGAATAAATAACTGGTGCTCCCCTCCAGCCTCCCACCCGGCCCATCAGAGCCCACCCCGCTCCCCATAGGACACAGCAGAGGACTAAACCCTCCTGACCTCCCCTCTAGATGGGAGCAACACAAAGAATCGACTTTTCATGCACCACACCAAGCACACGCAGAAAGGCTAAGAGTTTTAAAGAACAGCTTATAGGGGGAGAGCTATCTCCAGCAAACAGAAAGTCACAGGGGTCAGAGTCGTGCTTATTAAAGGGTAGTTAGGATGAGAAGGCCTGTGTGTGTGCGCGCGTGTGTGTGTGCACATGTATATGGGCTCTTAGAACGGATCTCCTAAAGCGTTGGTTCTTCATCAGGAAAGGAAGGTGAGCACCCTGGCAGGGGCACGGGAGGAGCTGGAAACCCACCCTCAGCCCCTCTGCTCACAATGGATGAGGCCGTGGAGCTGGAAGACACTAAGTACGTTATTATGCCAGATCATAAACCCTCGGAGGGCAGGGGAATTTCTTGTATTTTTTCTGCAATCTAGACAGAGCTTGGAGCACACTCAGCATGTGAGGAGTGCTGACTCGGTATTTGAATGCTCCATGCAAGTAACTGAGGCATCCTCGGGGACAAGGGATTTGAGTCCCAGCTCTGTCCCCTTAGTGGGTGGAGGAGAAATTCTGGGCTTCCCATCCTGTTTCCTGTGTTATGCACACACATTACCACCAACTCTCCTGACTGATCTGAGGGGCTACGAGGGTGGGGAGGGGATATTTACAAAAGCTGCCCGGCTTCTTCTTGGGAAGCTGCCGGGCTTGAGCCAGCGGCTTATGGAATTCTAGCGTGTTTGCTCTCTTTCCAAAGAAGAATGCAGACGCCCGGTGGCTGCCTCAACTCTTGCTTGGCCCCTGCAGGGCAGGGCCCGGGAGTGACTGTTCTCAGAGGGTTGGAGAGGTGTTTAGCAGAGCCCAACACAACCAGGTGCACCGTGCTCTGCCTCCTCAGCGCCAAGCTCGCCGTTAGCCTTGAACCTCAGCTCACAGAAGAGTGCACACGAGAGAAATATAAAGCCCATTCCCAGGTCAGGTGCACACACAACCCCTACGCCAAGCTGGGCCTTACCTAGAGGAGTCTGAAACTCACCACTGTCCTGAGCTACGGCAAAAGAAAAATAATAGTATAATCTTATTCGATCTGCATTATGAACAGGATATAGAGTACAAGCACTTCCATCACAGAAAAGCAATTTAGACATCGGCGGTCTGTTTCACGTTAAGGACATTTCTGTGACCCACAGCTCAAATCTTTCTTTCACTGCTCAGGCAAAGTGCTAAGGGTTTTTTTTTTTTTTTGGTTCCGTGCTCCCGTTATTTATCTTAAAGACACTCTCTCAGGCAAATTAATTCTACGATATGGTAAAGGAAACAAAACAAAACAAAACAAAAAAACCAAACCAAACCAAAACAAAACAAAACAAAAACAAAGACTCACTGTATAGCCAGAAGGCATTATCAATTTTTTCAAAGTATTCTTCTACTTGGTCATCCTAGAACATAAACTATTACACAGGGGACGGTTAGCACCGCACGGGAAGTGTCTGATCCCACGTAAGCATGAGAGGTGACTGTGCATTCTCCCCATGGGTGGTTCAGAGGCTCAGGACTTCTTAGGTCCCCGAGGAAAGGCGACTGGCAAGGCCACAACCGGCAGGGGCCGCAAAGTTAGGGGTGTGACTGGGCTACAAGGCAGGAATGAGTACTAGTCTCCATCCATAGAAAAGCAGGGTTCTTCTCCTTTTCCATAAGAGTACACAAATATTTATAAAGGGGTGGTGGGAACAAACCCAGTCAAATTCCCCGATCAGCTCTGGTAGCCATTTCCCAGGACTGGTTGAATGAATCCTCACCACCCTCCCCCTCCCTACAGCCCTCCCTTCCCCTCCCCGCTAAGCAGGCCCCGGGAGTGGGTGCTATTTCCCTGCCTCTTTGGTTGGTTTGGTTAAGCTTTCGAGGAGGGCACCAAACCCGCTGCTCCCAATGCTGGACTCCCGGGATCCTTTGGGGTCTTTTGCCTCATGGGGGACTCATGCTGCCTCTCTGGCAGGTTGTGATGGAAAATTTTTGAAACAAGTCTTTTTCTCTCACCTATGTTAAGTAAAAGCTATTTTTTAAAAAATTCTTTTAACTTCATGATCGTTTCAGCTATAAATTGAGAATTATACTTTGACGGTTGGGACTTTCTGTGTTCAACTTTCTCTTTACTACACAATAAAGTGCTTCATGAACAGGGACTCTAATTTCAGGATCACTGGGAAGATTAAATTCTCTGCTAGGACATAAATTTCCTGAGGCTGGAAGTTATATTTTATTTCTTGTGTGCCCTTTAGCACCTAGATCAAGCCAGACACACAGTGTGTGTGATAATAACTGACTGGTCTCACTTGAGACCAGACGACTTCTCACACATATTGGTTAAGGACCATGTTCCTTGTCTGAATCTTTCAGGGAAGGCACTGGCATGTCTGCAGGAAGCCATGAAGCACGTGCTGCGAGTATGAAGAAAGGCTGCCTCCTGTCAGGTGAAACTGTCAAGGTTCCAATTTGGGGACATGGGATGCTTGTGAGGCTTACTTCAAAGTTACGGGCAAGTCATCTAAAAAAACAAGACAGGGTGAACTGCAGCGACAGTGTCATCACTGGGCACACCAACCCTTAAGTCCATTAAAAATAATGTCTGAACAACACTCAGACAGTGTATGGTGAGTTCACTGTTGCATGCTGGCATGGTCCAATACTTCTTCCTACTCTGAACGCTGGGGTGTCTGCGAAGGGGAATCCCCCATTAACATCTGTTGACCCCCAGAGGGACAGGTCTAATTCAATCCAGCTAAGGGACACAAAGGTTCCTGACTAACTCCCCTCACACCAAGTAACCTGTCTCCAGGACCCCCAAAACCTCCAGGGAAGGGGTGGGTTAGGGTAGGGAAGGGTGTTTAATAACAACGCAGTAAAAGGTTCTGTACTTGCTTTCCTTACTTGAGCCCACCGGTGGGGACAGTGTGGCATTTCTTATGCTCCAGCAGCTGTTCGGGGGTCTTCATAAACTTGTGGCACACGTCACACTCAAACATCCTTGTGATGAGGTGGATCTGCAGATGGCGCTCAAACATGTTCTTCGTCTTGCAGACAAAGTTGCAAAAAACGCATTCGAACCCTGCAAGGACCCAAGCTGGATGTAGAGGTGCATGGAGCAGAGGGACGGGCAGGTGGAGGTGGGCTACGTTTCCTCCTCCCCCCTTCCTGCACTTCCCAACAGATGTATACTTCCAGGCACTGTTCCCTGCATCTCTGTACTAAAAGGAATTAAACATACAGCTCTAGAATTAATGTCACCCTCCCTATCTTTCCACAGCGTATCTGCATGCAAATCAAGCCTCCCAAAATGCAAATTTTCTGTAGTGCCTATTATACTGAATCCAGGGCCCAGCAACTGTTTTCCCACATCATTCCTCTCTAGGGCACACTGTCAAGACAGGAGCATCCTAGGGTAGGCAGGGCTGAGCAGGCCACGTTTGCCCCTCCCTCACCTTTCTCTGGCTTCTCCTCGCTGTTCACCGAGGGCTGGCTCCCAGGCACTACTGAGATGACCAACAGGTTGTTCCCTCCCTTGCTTTTCTGGGAACTGTCTGAATCATCTTTGCTGTTGGCAGAATCACTCAGAGCTGAGAGGGAGGATGAAGACGGGCTATTTGATTCACTGGGGGTCTTCCTGTCTTCCCCTGAAAAAGGGAAACAACCAAGTCTGTTAGGTGGGACATGAAAACCTTCAGAGTTGATGGCACTTGGGTTTGGGTGGGGGGCTCTCAGGCATGCATCATTATTCCAGGAGCTTCCAGTTCCCACAGAGCACTGGCTGGGATCCCAAGTCCTACAGTACAGTGGTGATGGCTTGCGTGTATCTGGGTCAAGAGCAGACACTGATGAGTGTCCGGTGAGGTCTTATAATAATTAAAACACAATGACAGTGACAGCTAAGAGGTACTGACTATGTTACCAAGTTTCAGCAACTTATCTTCTGTTTTAAATGCACTATATCATTTTATCCTTTCAAAAATCCTAGGGGGTGGAGGAGCTCCACGATGGAGCATGTGCTTAGCATACATGAGGCTCTGAGTTCCCCAAACCTATCCCTCAAATTTTATAAAGTACATATACATGCCCGTACACACACGCAATCCTATGATCATGCCTATTTTGCAGATGAGAAAGTGGAAGCACAGAGAGGTAAATTTGGACTAGGGTATGTGGAAAAGAGACTTGAGTCGGTCTGATTCTAGTGTCTAAGAGCACATTGGACTCTCTCTCAAAACATGCCCCGGATAAGGCAACAGACCATCAAAAGGTAGTGTCAGGAAAGGTCAGCTTCTGCTCACGTCAGAGTATCAGGGAGTGGATCCAACATCACTGAGAGGACTAACAACAACCAACCAACCAACCAATATCCAAGACAAAATATATCAACCATCAGTTTTTACAACATTGAACGTGAGAACAAAAGAGGCCGTGGCTGCTCTAATTCCTGCTCTGAGGTAGATTCTGGGCTGCAGGCAGCACAGGGCACCTAGGAGGAAGCTAAAAGATTCCCTGAGTGCAGGAGGCAGAGCTGAGGGTCTGCTGAGATCAACATGGACAGACTTTGGAAGACAGCTGTCAGAGTGGAGCTAGCAGCACAGAGAGCCCTGAGATCCACAAGAGGGTCCCGTTCAGTACTCAGCAGAGCACAGGTCATAGCAGTGTGTGAAGAAAGTACCCCAGATCGAAGTGAAAAGATGTCATTGAGAACTGTGCCTGTCGCTCATGCAGGAATTGAAACAGGACTTGTTTTCTCTAGCCTCTAGACTTGTTTCATCTAGAGATGAAAACCACATAATCCACAGGGGATTAGGAAGAAAACAGAGGAAGGCTTCTTAGTAGTGGGTAACAATCAGTGCTCAGGGTTCCACATCTATCTGATGACTCATAAAAGTAAGATCTGAGTTCAGAAAAGGATCAAAGTTTCCAATAATTAATTGACACCTGGGGAAAAGGTCAATAATACTATAGGGATACAAAACATCAAACACTCAACATGATAAAACCACAAGGTATGGTATCCAGCCATATATTTTTGGACATACAAAGAAACAAGAAAGAACCCAAAATGAGAAGAAAAATCAGGTAAGCTAAAACTAACCTAGAACTGACAGTTGCTGAATTTTTAGATAAGGACACTATATAACTATATTTCTTATGTTCAACAAATTAGGCAAAGACATGGAAGATATGAAAAGTCCACGACAAATTTCTACAGGTAAAAATCACAATGTCAGAGATGGAAAAATACAACGGGTGGGTTACCAGCATATGAGATACAGCAGAGGAAAAAATTAGTGACTAAAGATAATAGCTGTAGAAACCATTGGATATGAAACAGAAAAAAGAATCCTCAAAACGAAAAAAGGAGGCATCAGAGAATAGGATGACAATATGCAGCTTTGTATAGGATTAATTTGAGTCATGAATAGGGTGAGTAACCCAAAGATGTTTGAAATGGCCAGTTCTTCAACCCAGGAAGCTCAGTGAACTCCAAGTATAAAAACCACAAGGAAAATCATACCAAGTGTGATGGTTAAGGCGGACTGTTAACTTGATTGGCTTGGGAGTTGCCCAGAGAATTAACAAAGCACACTCCAGGGAAGGCTGGATAGGTCATGAAGTGTGACCCTGTGAACATTTGATTCCCTGCTCCTTCCTCTCTGACTGTTACCCTGCTCTGTTTCCTGGAAACATGAACTACAAAGAAGCTTTGCTCCCATGTGCTCTTCCACCATGTTTCTACCTTGGAGTCAGCTTGCCATGGACTGAATCCCCAAGACCGTGAGCCAAATTAATCCTTGTGTCTTTTAAATTGTGAGTGACAGATATTGTGACTCTGTGAGTGCTGGAAAAGCAGATGGACACACCAAAAAACACCGTTATTAACCTGCTCAAAAAAAAAAATCCCTCAAAGCAGCCTGAGTTATTTGCAGAAAAACCAAAATTAACGATGGCAACAGAGTTCTCACAGGAAGCAGGGCGAGTGAGACCAGAGGAGGGCAACATCTGGGAACAGCTGGAGGACTATCCACTTGAAATTTCATACTGAGTGAAAATACACCTCAAAGGTGATGGCAGACAAACAAAACTGCCGTGAAGGATGAGACAGTGAACCAACAGCAGACTTGCATTACTGGGAATGTTAGAAGAAGTCCTCCAGGTGAAAGGAAAGTAGCATAGTTGTAAAAAGGGTCTACAAACAATGAAGAGCTCTGGAATGACAAATTCCCATGTGTCTATAAAAAGATAATAAAAGCAACTTATTTAAACAAAAGCAACAACAACAATGCATTAATAACATATACATAAGTAAATACTTGACAATGCCATAAAGGCTAAGAGGGGAGGGGGCTGGGGATTTAGCTCAGCGGCATAAGCGCCTGCCTTGCATTATACTGCAATACATTTTAAAAATGAGTTCTAAACCTCAACTATACATTATTTCTGGTTAAGGAGCGTTGATATTGCTAAGATTTCAATTCTTCCCAAAGAGATTCGCAGATTCAATGCAAGCCCATAGTTTAGGGTAGAAAACACAGGAAGATTCTTCTTCAGAGTCCTTCAAATGTTGACTATGCAACTTAATGATTATAAGTCCTAGGAACTAACTTCCTTTATTGAGAGATAAAAACAATAAACTGTGTATTATATGTATGCATAAAAGTCTGGAAGTAAACAAAGCTGTAAATTGTGGGTTATGACAACAGCATCAAATTATCGGTATGGTATTTGTCTTTTTTTTTCCCTTGGGTTTCACAATTTTTACAGTGACCATGTGTTACTCGCTCAATTAAAGAAAGTCTGTAAAAAAAGAAAAGGGGTCAGAGAAGTAGCTGTGAGATACAGCATGGAGAGAAAGACATGGAGAGAGACACAGAGAAACAGAGAGAGACAGAGACACAGAGAGAGAGAGAGACAGAGAGGTGGGGAACGGAGAGGAGAAGAAAAAGAAACAGAGGCAGGCAAAAACAGAGAGAAATATAGAAGAGTGTTTTCTAATCCTATTCCTGTGATATGTGCACGTAGGGTCCAGGGAAGACAACTCTGGCTTCAGTTCACAGTGTTTAAAATCTTGTTCCTATCAGAACTGAACATAGAACATGGACAGAGCATGTGACCTTAGTTTCCAACAGAGGGAGAGACGCAATATACCTTCGGAATACGCAGCCCTGCCGCATCTGAAGCTACGTGAAACCAGCACCATCACTGCCAGTTCATTATCGAAGCACCTAACTAACCACATCACATTTTGGGGACAGATAGAAGATTTTCAGTGAAGTGCCTGAATCCTATTCCTGAAATCCACCTTCTAAGCCTGTCTCACTGACAGTCTGTTACAAGTGATTATTTTTTTTAAATATATATTTAATGAAAACATTAGTTTCAATTACTATGCTTAAAAATACATTCAACTCCCTGGTGGTTTAAGGTGCTGGCTAAAGCTGACTAACTTGATGAGTGTGTGAAAACACCAGGTGCCAGGCCAGCCACTGGGTGATACAGCATAGGAGGGCAACCTGGCTGCGCCTGTGCCACCCTATCTTCTGCAGCGTCTCTCGGGAGACAACCAGGTGCCCTGACTCCTAGGTCAGAGGCTGTCATCCAAATGGAGATTCACCTTTGCAATTGCAAAGATTCCTGGTGAAGGGTAACGTGTGCACAAGTAACATAGCCTCACACATTAAGACGGCCCGTGGAAGAGCAACTTTTAAGAAGAAACTGAAACTCCTAAATTTTTCATCATTTAAAACAACATAAATTGAGAATCCAGAGCCATACAAAGTTATCAGTCATCTTACCCCCTTCATACAAATACCGTTACATTTTGGTGTGTTTGTTTAATCTAAAAAAATATTCAGCATCTGTACTTCTACATGTTGTTATCTGTTGCATAAATAATTAGGAACTGTAGATCTGGAATACCTGAGTTTGAATTCCACCTGAGTAGCTATATGACTTTGGATAAAGTATGGAATTTTGTGCCTCAATTATCACATCTGTAAAGTGGGGATAATATCAGCACTTGCCTTGTGTGATTTTTTATATATTAATCACACAGAGCGATATCTAGTCATGGTAAACATTTTAGCAGTGATTTAGATCATAATACTAACATCATTTCCATGTTGTCTTACATACTTGGTACACAGTTGGCTCTTGAAAAATTCATGGAACTATTTATGAATTAAACAATAATACAAAATCCTGTACTGTGTTCTTTCTATACCACAGTGCTATTTCATGGAGCCTGGATCTAGAACTCAGACTAGAATATCTACATGCTTCCTTCCTTTCTACCAGCTATGTGCAAGTGACCTTCCCACTGGCCATCAGGGTGTGGATGAGCTTGTGTATGTATGCGTTACTCCTCAGCCTGTGCAGGGAACCAGAGTCACAATCAAGTTCTTTAGGACTACATGTTTGTGGTACATGTTACATAGCATTACTGTTGTTTTATATAATAACTTTGCAATAATATAGCTTATTAATGCACAGAATTAGATTGACAGATTTTGGTTCAAACACTTTAAAACAGCACTAACTAAAGCACTGTGAAACCTTTAGCTTGCACAGCCGTTAGCCCCAAACTAGCTTCCTGTTCTTGTGACTTAAGTCATATTGGCACATGACCATTCACTTGTGTATCATCTATGACTACTTTCATGCTCCAGCAGCAGAGTTGAATCATAATGATAGAAACCACATGGCCCACGAGCCTAAAAGATTCACTATTCAGCCCTGTAAAAAATGCTTTGCAGAGCCCTGGCTTACAAAATGTGTTTTAATCTTAGAGCAGCAGCATTAAAGGCTTCTACTGAGTTACAAAAGAAACTTCTTTAACATGTTTCATTCCTCGGGCTCCGGACTAACAAATCAGAAGAAGGCAAGCAGCCCGGCCACCTGGGAGAAACAAGCTCTTTCCCGTGTGCCCTGTGGTGATCAGGGGTGAGTGTGCATTGGTCAGCTGTGAATGTGAGATTCCCATCAATGATAAGGGACCCCAAGTCCACCTTCTTTCAAGCTGTTATGGTTTCTGTGGTTTCCTTGAGGTGGTGGAGGGGCTGTGGCCTGGGGTGGGATGGAGGTTAGGGCATTCATTGGGATAAAAAAGACTAGAAAAACAAGGGTTTAATGGAAAAGAGAAAAAAGCACAACTGCAAAACTAGAGGATCGGGTGAGTTTGGCTTTGTCCTCCACCTGCCACTCCAGAAATGCCGAATTTAATTTGTCTTCATGTGGGTTTCCCAGCTCACCTGCTGCCCACAGTGTTAACGTGGTTACACTCAGATAACCGACTGTAGAAATAGCACCTTCTCACTCAGCCTAATGACTCTCTGCAGATCTCCAAGTCATAGCTTCTCAATTTGCTGACAAAAACAAGCTTTTATTGCTGTTGGCACCGTGTACCAGAGTGGCTGGAGAAGCCCAGAGACCTTCTTGGCCATGCACGTTATCAGCACGAGTGTCAGGGACATTGCCGTTCCTGGTCCTCCCGGGGCTGTTGATGTGAGGGGCTGACCCAGTATCTGGTGCCAGAGGTTAGCAACATCAGCTCTTAATTCGTAAGTGCTGCAAATGCCACCTAATGACTTCACACTGGTGTCATTTGTAGCCATCAGTTTGTGAAAATCAAAATGTTAACGTCATTAGCTGGAAGAAGATAACCAGGGTGGCAAGAGGCTTAAATGAAAGGCAAGCACTGGCCAAGTCTTGTTAGATTTGCTTTGAGAATTTGGTTTCTTTGCCCTCAACAGATGGGCCGTGAGTGCATCGTGACACAAATGTTGGAGCTGTGGGCTTCTGGAAAGGGAGCAGAGCCTGCAGGATGAGGCACACAGGTCCCCAGCATAGAAAGTGAGGAAGACTCAGAGCTCTCTAAGTGCTATGTGGGGTCATCAGGACCATGGGGATCCAGAGAGCAGGCTATGGGAATAAAGCCATCACTTCCTGTTTCTGAAGTCACTTCCTGATCGCTGACTTTGGATGGGAAACCTCACATCTGCCAAGTCTGTTTCTCTACCTGTACACTGTGACAATAGCAGTGTTCACCTGCTGTGAGGCACAGGAGCAAACCTAGGTCATCAAAGGAGCTTAGCAAAGCCAGGCCTGGTGGTGCATTGTGGTCCCAGCTCTCTAGTAGGCTGAGGCCAAGGGATCACAAGTCTGAGCCCAGCCCGGGCAACTTAGACACATAGCAAGACCCTGTCACAAAATAAAAAATTACAAAGTGCTGGGATGTAGCTCACCATGAAGGCACTGGGTTCAACCTTCAGAACCAGGGGGAAAAGGAGCTGAGTGATTGTTAGATACAGTGATGATACTGAAAGAGGACCCAGGTAAGGACCAAGAACAAGGCTCTGCACCACTCAACAGCATCTACATTTGGGAATCTTTCAGATCCGGGAGGCCCAGGCTGAGCCAGGCATGGCATTACGACTACAGGGCACAGTGGTTCTGCTCCTCCGGAACAGCCCTACCCTACCTGGAGGGCAAGGCCCACTTCTTATGGCAGTGTCGGTGCTTCTGCCACGAAGCAGGCCATGAAGCAGGCACTGTGGGGTGAAGGAGTGGAGAAGGGTGGGGAGGACCCGCAGGAATGGTCACCTGTGTGCTTGGTGCCAATGTGAGCCTTTATCTCTGCCTCCTCCATGGTGACGAAGTCGCAGGCAGTGCAGCAGATAGAAAACATCCATTGCTCCTTGTCCACGTGGAGGGACATGTGGCTGACGAACTGCACATTGAGCTCAGTCTCAAATCCGCACACGTGACAACTGCAGGAAAGAGGAAAGGAAAGAGGGAGAGCAAGAAGTGAGACAGGTTTCTAAATGCGCTCTACTCATCTGTACGTAGTACTCTCCAGAAAACCAGAGTTCCACACGCATTTTCTCTCCACCAAAGTGTATTGGGCTAGGAAATTCTGCTTCCTGGGACTCCTCTGAAGCAGTCACTGTGCCAAAAAGATTGGGTGCCAGCATAATGTAACAGTCCCGTACATGCTATAATGATGCTAAGTAATCACAAAATTAATTAAATATACAGATTCCAGATGCTACGCATCTCCTGATTCCTCTGGGCAAGTATTGAAAGATATTTGTACTGCTGCACCAATAACTGAGCTCACTGCACACTCCAGAGTCCTCTCTGGCTCTAGAAACCTTCCTGTATAGCAGGGAAAGCATGCACAGGTTGGCTGATTTCACACCAAGCAAAAGGCAGCCCTACTGGTGACAACTCCCACTAGATGCTGGCCATCCCCAGAGATGCTTTGCAAAAAACAAGTTCCTGCCAAATCTCTGGGACAAGCTCTGGAGTTTCTTGGGACAGAAGCAAATAACTCAAAGTTGATACCAGAAGCAACCAATACACAAGGACTAAACCAGTGGACAATATGCAATCCCTTGTGTGTTTGTTCTTGTCTTTTTCTGTACAATTTGCAAGCAGCGTGAGGTGCTCAGTTACAAGCATGGGTGCTGCAGAGACCTCGGCACTACACATCCCCGCACCTGTTACTCTTTGAGGCTGCACTCCAGAGCCAACACCGACCCCACTGCTTGTTCCATTAATTCTAGTAGGGCCACTTATACCAAGAAAGGAGCCCGCGTAGCGGCAGGGTTTAATCTAAGTGACGATCATATAAATGAAGACCAGAAGACAGCTAAGAAAAGAGGCTGGGCCCTGAGCAGACAAGCAGGACGTGTCAAAGCGGGAGCCTGAGACACCCAGACTCTCACGCTCCGTCCTCGACTCACCTGTAATAATAAGGGTGTTTCTTCCCGTCACTGCCTTCAGAGGTGACAGCGCTGACAATGTCCTCGGTGTCTGTACTCACCAGCTTCACAGAATGGACGGTCAAGTGCTGGTTCAGATTCGCACGGCACTTAGCAGCATAGGGGCACAAGTGGCATTTGTATTTTCTTTCCTCTAGGGAGGAAGGAACAGGAAAAAACCCAGACTGCTCTCAAAGAATGAAATCTCAACACCTGCAAGAGATCACTTACAGGTACCAAGGACAGGACAGTTCAAGTGTCATTTCAAGTGGGGGACAAAGGTCACGCTTGGAAACCCTAAGTATCTAAGTCCCTATCCAGCAGTTCATGCCTGTGTTAATATTGCCAAACAAAAAAGAAGATCTCCCAGGGGAACTTCTCTGGGCTAGATTTGGTGGAAAGTCTGAAATTTGGGGTTTTATAGTAACCGAAACAAATACCAATTGCAGGTTGAATATGGAAGCAGTGTATGACACTGGCTCCATCAAAGGACGATGCTTAGGGCCTCCTGAGCGATTCCTTGCCGTTCTTGTGTTTATTTTTCCTTGGGTCTTTTTTTCCTACCATTCCACTTTCTCCTGGCACACACAGCCTCTTCTCCTGGCAAGGTGAACACCACAGGTGTTTAAAGAATCCCTGAGAGGCTGGTTGTGGTGGCCCATGCCTGTAATCCCAGCACTCTGGAGGCCCAATAAAGGAGGATCACAAGTTTGAGCCCAGTATGGGTAACTCAGAGATTTAAAAAGACACTGTCTTAAAATTACAAAGAAAAATTTTTAAGAAAGGGCTGGAGATACAGTTCAGGGTGAAGGTCCTAGCTTCCGCCCCAGGATACCACCATTAACCCCCCAACATACACACACTGTTGAGTGTGTGGGCACATGTGCACCATGTGTACCCCTGTGTGTATACAAGATCTGCTTCCATCTGTGATTCATGGGTGGGTCACAAGCCCTGGGAGGAGAATGGAACACACATACACAGAACTGGAGCAAAAGAGACTCTACTATTTCCCCCAAGCTCCAGGCCTGGGTTAGCCAAGAAATAAAAACTTAAAAAAAAAAAAAAATTAAAGGGAAAATAATGACTTGTGTAAAATAATTTAATTGGAAATTTTCATTTTACATAAATAAAATTAAAAATTTCAATTAATTTCTTAATGGAAATTCTCTCATAAAACTGACTAATGTTCCAGGATCGTTTCCAGAGTGGCGTTCTGAATTCATTTGATTAATCAAGCAAATTAAAGGATAAGGAGCTGGCTTTGCTTTCACTGTACAGATAAAGGTAGTAATAGAAGCAGCAAAGACCAATCTCATCTTCCACCCCTAACTGTTGGCATTTCTGGGCTTGACCTAAAGAAAGTATCTGTTTTATTTACTTCACGCAGAAAATCACAAAGAAAACTGTTTCTACCACCAAATGTAGGTGGTCT